TATATAAGGAGGCTACGCCGCTACGATGTATTTTGTTTATCTGTTATATTTTAAAAAACGTTTAAAAATATAGTAAACAGTTAAAAAATGAACATTTTTCAGTTAAAAAAAATTACATTTTGCTTTCATTTGCGTTGACTTTGTTACCTATAAAAAAATATCAAAAACAAAGTGTTTTGAAAAACAAATCAAACATGTGTACATAGAGCAAATATATTATGGATTGTTATTGTGATTGGTAGTTTATTGTTTCAATATCTCTGTTGTATGTATTATTATTATGAAAAAAATCAAATAAGGTATTTCGATATGTAGTTGTTTTGTTTTGGGTTGTTTTGCTTTTTAAAAAAAAGGAAAGAGCAAAACAAAACATAGTTTTACATAAATAAATATTCGAAACAGATTCTTTTATTCTATTTATTTGTAAAAAAAACATAAATATACTCCACAGCCTTCTATGTATTATTTATTGGAGGGCTATATCATAGCCTTCTAAATTTACATCTCATATTTTTTTTCTCTCCAATATTCGTCAGGCGACCCAATTCTAAATAAACTGCTGCTCTCGCCTGTCAGGCCCAGGCCCCAGGGCCTTTATGGCCTAAGCCATAGCCCTCTTTTGCTATATTTTTGTTATGATGTTTTTATCAAAAACCAAATATTTTAATGGTCTTTACCCTTCGCGGCTTCGCTATTCGCGAAAATCCTTCACTGTCTTCAGCCCTTCATTGCTTCACACACATCATGTGTCCAGAGTCCAGTGTCCAGGCTCTCAGCGTGTGTTCAATTTTCAAAAACCCTAAAACATGAGAGTATAAAACTATAAACTATAATGTTTTTTTTAGTTTTAACAAAAGAAATAGCACGAAGAATAGCCAACGAAATGATGATATTTTATTGAACATATTTTTCAAAGCAAATTTAAAAAAACACGTGCATGGATTTTTACCCAAAGTCTGACATTTTCAAATTCGAATATTTTTTTATCAGCAAAAGCAAAACAACAAATACTGTATGCCGTGTATGTATAATTGTATTATTAATATATTTCGAACCAGACTCCCTGAGGTTTGAGAGAATGAGGGTACGGGCTACCGGCCCTAACCCCCCCCCCCCCTCCGGGGGTTCCCGGTTGTATTTTTAAAAATAGACTTCGAGTTGTAGTGCCGAGTGCCGACTTACGACTTTTAAATACGAGTTACGACTACATACCCCCGGTGCATCCAATGAGAAATAAATATTTTGAATAGCACAAGATCAGCTTTCTAATATTTAGTTAAATAGAGGCTTCTAAAAAAATGTGATGCCAGGCTTGAAAATATCCGTACGCCATGCATTCATAGCCCTCTGAATTTCTGAATTTCTATTTCTGGTGATTCCTAGCGAACCTCAGAACCAGGGCCCCGGGGTTCGGGACTTCAGCTTCCTGGAATCCTGGGTCATTGACTCAATGTCTCATTGGTATTGGGAGTAAACTTTATTTCGCGAAAATGTCTAATGATCGTACAATAATAATTTCAAGAGTAATAATATTGCCGGTTTTCAGTTTTGAGTTTGCCGTTGGCGTTTGGCTGTCATTATTTAAAAAATATCAAATAAATGTTTCCAAATGTTTAAAAATAAATAAATTAGTACATACAGTATGTATTTTGGGGTTTTTTTTTGGAAGAGATCAAAAGCTAAAGTATAAAAGTCCTTGGAATAACAAACTATCATTCAGAATATTCACAACGGTGAATATCAATACATCTAATAAATATGAACACTGTAGTTGTAACTGGTGCCAATTCGGGTTTGGGCTTTGATACTTGTCGACAGCTTGCTGAAGAGTCCGAAGTAAAGAAGGTAATACTAGCATGCAGAAGCGAGACTAAGGCAAAAGACGCCATCGCACAGCTGGTAGGTATAACAAAGAAGACTTCAGACTTCTTTGATGTGCTGATCCTGGATACTTCAGATGTCGAATCTTGTAAGGCCGCCGCGCAGAAGTTAGCATCAGAGAAAGTGAACGGTGTGGTGCTGAATGCCGGAGGTGTCATAGCAGGGAAGGATAGCACAAAGGGCGTTCCGCTCATGCATCTGGCGAATACAATTGGACATGTTGTATTTGTTGAGGAATTGATTGCCAGCTGTCGTACAGAAAATTTAGTTGTGGTGTACTCAGGCAGCGAAGCAGCGCGTGGGGTTTATAGCGCAATGGGTACCGTCTTCAAGGAACCATATAAAGCAGACGTATATAGTCACCTCACAGGAGAAAACCCGCTGGAGAGTGACATAAACGGCGCCTATGCATATACTAAGGCAATCGCTGCGTTGTACATGTCCTCACTTGCGAGAAAGCACCCCGAGTGCCACATTGTAACTGCCAGCCCAGGTATGACTTCCGGCACTGATATCGGCAACTTGAACCCAGTTGTGAAGTTTGTGGCACAGTCCATGGTCATGCCACTGTTGAAGCTAGTTGGCTATTCACACCCTGTTGACGAAGGTGCTCTTCGGTACATGAACGCATTGTTCAAGCGAGGAAATGCGAATGTGGCCTCTGGTACGTTTGTAGCATCCAAGCAGAACAAGTTGTCCGGCCCTGTGGAGGACCAATCCACATTCGCTCCGCAGTTTGGCGACCAGAAGTTGCAAGACGATGCCTTCGATGCTGTCCACGAGTTAATACAGAAGTTGTGAAGTAGCTGATTTTACTGTGGAACAACATTTCTAAGGTGTGTAAATAGTGACAATAAAGGCAATATGATTATGCATGATAGTATTTGAGTGATGAATTGCCAACGGAAATTCTACCAGTCGAAAGCATTGCTTCTCAACACCCTTAGGTACAGGTTTTATAATCATGTGTTGATTAAAAAAAGTGTATGATCAAACACGAGTTGAATAACAGTGAATAAAAAGACATGTATATTGACGAGTATACATGTAATAATTTTCTTTATATATACATGATTATATATATATATATATATATATATACGTATATATATATATATATATATATATATATATATATATATATATATATATATATATATATATATATATATATATATATATAATATATATATATATATATATATATATATAGTATATATAT